AAAAAAAAAAAAAAACCCAGTGGCTGTGGTTGCAATATAACAAAGCAGGACAGTCTCAGGTCATATAACACTGAGATTTCTGAAGATAGGGCTTTAAGATATGTGATTGTATCACTTTTTTTTTTCTTTTTTGGCCGGGCCTGGGTTTGAACCTGCCACCTCCAATATATGGGGCCAGCGCCCTCTACTCCTTTGAGCCACAGGTGCCACCCGTGACTGTATCACTTAATTGAGGCAACAGCTCTTGCCCTTTCAGGTACTTTTATTTTGGGAGATAGTTAAGTAGGCAGTCCAGGTAGGTAGAGCATGGTATGATTGTCTTCCTTGCTGAGATTTTTGGTTAACATAAGCATTTCCTCTCGTTAGGCGTAGAATATACCTCCCTTTTGCATAAACTTTGTTGTGCATGTGTTCTTTAGATAATAAATACAATTGTATTTCTAAATTATAAAATTAAAATTTTAAGGAGTTTGAGATGGTAATCATATGTTCTTCCAGAACCATTTTTAGGGAGTTTGAGATAGTAATCATGTGTTCTTTCAGAATCATGTATTTCAGATCAACAAATATACTTTAGGAAATGTGAGATTCTAAAAGTGAGGTTCTAAATGGAGGTGCAGGGTCATTGTTTATACTTTTGCTCCCTGTACATTTGTGTTCCTTTTTACTTATTCAGTATGATTTGTATGGGTAATTTTCGGGCACTAAAACCAGTCTATAGGACCACTGCCATGTTCATGATGTGTCTTTTTTTTTTTTGAGAGAGAGAGAGTGTCACTATGTTGCCCTTGGTAGAGTGCTGTGGCTTCACAGCTCACAGTAACCTCCAACTCTTGGGCTTAAGCAGTTCTCATGCCTCAGCCTCCCAGTAGCTGGGACTACAGGCGCCTGAGCCTGGCTGTTTTTTGTTGGTTGTTAATTGTTGTTTTAGCTGGCCCTGAGCAGCCTCGGTGGTGGCTAGACCATTTATATCCTTTGTATGTACATGTTTACTTTTCTTCTTCCCTGAGGCTCTAGTATTCTTTCTTTTCCTTTATTGAGTCTGTTAAGTTTTTTGTTTTTTGTTTTTTTTGGTGACAGAATCTCTCTTTGTTGCTGTCTAGGTAGAGTGCCGTGACTGGCATAGTAGCTCACAACAACCTCAAACTCTTGGGCTCAACCCATTCTCTTGCCTCAACCTGAGTAGTGGGACTACAGGTACCTGCCACAGTGCCCTGCTATTTTTAGAGATGGGGGTCTCGCTCTTGTTTAGGCTGGTCTTGAACCTGTGAGCTCAGGCAGTCCACCCACCTCAGCCTCCCAGAGTGTTAGCATTACAGGTGTGAGCCATTGCTCTGGGCCCTTGAGTTTGTTAAGTTTTATTTTTTTATTTTTTATTTTTTTTTAGAGATAGGGTCTCACTGTGTCACCCTCAGTAGAGTGCTATGGCATCACAGCTCACAGCAACGTCCAACTCCTGGGCTTAGGCAATTCTCTTGCCTCAGCCTCCTGAGCAGCTGAGACTACAGGTGCCCACCGTAACATCCGACTATTTTTTTGTTGCAGTTTGGCTGGGGCCGGGTTTAAACCCACCACCCTCGGTATGTGGGGCAGGTGCCCTACTCACTGAGCCACAGGTGCCACCCGAGTTTAAGTTTTATATCAAGTTTAGGTGACAGATCATAGAGTTGTTAGTATTCTCACGTTAGCAGTTCTGTGTGTAGGGCTGTAACTTCATGAAAAATTCTGGAGCAACTTTTTTTTTTAAAACAGAGTCTTACTATGTTGCCCTCAGTAGTGTGCGGTGGCATCACAGCTCACAGCAACCTCAAACTCTTAGGCTTAAACAGTTCTCTTGCCTCAACTTCCCAAGTAGCTGGGACTGCAGGCATCTGCTGCAATGCCTGGCTATTTTTTTGTTATAGTCATTGTTTAGCAGGCCTGGGCTGGTTTTGAACCCGTCAGCCCCAGTATTTGTGGCCACTGAGCTACGGGTGCTGAGCCAATTCTGAGATTTCTAAAGACTGATAGATATGAGGTCTGTTTTTCCTGTTCATAAAAATACTTTTTTTTGGAGACAGAGTCTCACTCTGTCTTCTTGGGGTAGAGTGTCATGGCCTTATAGGTCACAGCAACTTCAAACTCCTGGGCTCAAGAGATCCTCTTGCCTCAGCCTCCCAAGTAGTTGGGACTACAGGTGTCAGCCACAATGCCTGGCTAATTTTTCTATTTTTTAGTAGAGTTGGGATCTCACGCTTGCTCAGGCTGATCTTGAGCTCCTGAGCTCGAGCAGTCCCCCCACCTCCCAGAGTGCTAGGGTTACAGGTGTGATCCACCCTACCTGGCCCATCAAAATACTTTGTATGTTAAATGTTCCACTTGTGGGATTCTTACTGATTTCTTATCCATGCCCTAACTGATATTGATTAAAGGAATAGGATTTCCCCCCCACCCCTTTTGATTTACTTGAGGGACTAGACAGAAGCAACAGCTTTCTGGAGGGAATTTTTAGGGATTCATCAAAGGAAAAGAATGGAGAGTTTGGGCTCTGAAGGACTTTTTAAAAAAAATTATATATATATATTTTTTTTTAGAGAAGAGACCTCACTCTATTGCCCAGGCTATAGTGTAGTGGCATGATTATAGCTCACTGTAACTTCTGGACTCAAGTGATCCTCCTGCTTCAGCCTCCCAAATAGCTGAGACTGCAGACATGTGCTACTATACCTGGTTAATTCTGAAGCTTTTTTGTAGAGATAGAGTCTCACTGAGTTGCCCAGGCTGGACTCTAGTAGACTCAAGTGATTTTTCTGCCTCAGCCTTCCAAAGTGCTGGAGTTATAGATATGAGCCATTGTTCTTGGCCCATACACATTTTTGTAATAGCTTTATTGAAGTATAATTCATACAAAATACAGTTCACTCACTTTAAGTATATAGGTCGGTGACTTTCAGTATATTCACAGAGTTGTCCAAAATCTAACTGATTTTAAAATATTTTTATTACTCCGGAAAGAAACCCTGTACTTATAGCTATTACTCCCCCTCCATCATACTCCCTACCCTAGGTTGTCACTAAGCTACTTTCTATTTCTATAGATTTGCCTATTCTTGACATTTTATTTAAGTAGAATTATGCAATATATAATCCTTTGTAACTAACTTCTTGCATTTCGCATAATATTTTTAAGGTTCATCCATGCTTATAGCTTTTTTTTTTGAGACAGAGCCTCAAGCTATGGCCCTGGGTAGAGTGCTGTAGTGTCACAGCTCACAGCAACCTCCAACTCCTGGGCTTAAGTGATTCTCTTGCCTTAGCCTCCCAGGTAGCTGGAACTACAGGTGCCCACCACAACACCCAGCTATTTTTTGGTTGTAGTTGTCATTGTTTGGCAGGCCTGGGCCGAATACGAACTTGCCAGCTCTGGTGTATGTGGCTGG